GACTACATCTTCATTTCCCTACTAAACCTTCTGCCTCGGTATTTGACTGAAGAAGCCTACTGTGTAGGGGAAATATTTCAATATTAAAGATACCCAACTCTTGCACATGTGTCTTAATCTTCTTCCAGGGGGGTGTTCGGGGGGGTCAAAGCCCCCGGGTGACCCAGTCCTTAACCAGGCCTCCCAGTGGATCAGGGCCTGATCAACCAGGCTGTTACTGCTGAAGAATAAGACTTATGCAATACTTTAGTATCTGAACACTTAAAATTCTCTCTCCACTGTCTCCAGTATTTAAGACGCCTCTGGATTCGACTGAAAAAGCCTGTTGCGGAGACGAAACGTTTCGGTATTAAAGAAACTGATTTGGTTATGATCTTGGAAAAAAATATATTGAAGTAATGTGTGATTTATAAGGTAATTATTGTAATAAAATGCAAGAATATCATCAGATTCAGGTCTTGATTCTCCAGGATGCCTGGTCTGGACCGGGCCCCGGGGACGTTGACCCCCGAAAACCCCATTCAGGTTTCTCTCTATGAGCACTCCAACATCCAGGCACCCCATCATCCAGGCAACCCATCATCCAGGAAACCCATCAACCAGGTGCCCCATCATCCAGGAAACCCATCATCCATGTGCCCCATCATCCAGGAACCCCGTCAACCAGGTGCCCCATCATCCAGGAACCCCATCATCCAGGTGCCCCATCATCCAGGAACCCCATCAACCAGGAACCCCATCATCCAGGAACCCCATCATCCAGGAACCCTATCATCTACCAGTGATAAAGAAACAAATCAAGGGATCGATCAAGTGTAAGTCAGCGAAATTGAATCATAATTAATTCACGGAGTGAAGGTCAAGTGTATCGATGATGCAGCTGCTGGTACTCCATAGACGGCGCTGGCAGCGGTTAACACCCGACACTTGTGTATCCTAAGTGACATACACTCTGCTCTAGTCTGTGTACTTACCTCCACGCATACTCCCGTCTCCCGAGTGGCAGACTTTCATTGTTTTAGTCTGTTTACTGTCTGGCGGAACATGTCAGTCAACACCTGGGGGTATTTATTAAAACGCGTTCCAGCCCAGGACTGAAACTTTTTCTAAGTGTTTGCTCACGTGTCTTTCTAAACTAATACACACTTGCGTCTCCTATGTGGCACTTTACTTGCTATATCCTGTGCACTTACCTGCTATATCATGTGCACTTACCTAGCGTCACACTCAACAAATTTTCATTACCACCACGAGTGCTAAGGTCAACTAATTCACTTTCTCGAGATATATTCTGAACAAAAACTAATCGGACACTTTTTTTCTTGTTTGAAGATTCCTGGATATTAACTTGTTTATATCGAGTCAAGCCTAGTCTGCGATTAAGGATTATGATAATGCAGCTTCGGATCATTGCATCATACTGTTGTGCGTGTGTGTGTTTACCACACACGCACAACACACAACTAGATTCCCTAACAGACATTCGTGTAACATAGTACCACCCTTGTCAACATGGGGGTGGGGTGGGGGGAGGGGGTACGGCCATGGGCCAGACGAGCCCGGCCTCCGGAAGTAGAAAGACTCCCGAAACTCATCAAAGGTTTATCAAGGGTAAAGGTATATCAGGCAAGGCGTATTTAAACCGAGAAAGTTTTCGCTGTAGTGTACATTTGCTGCAGCGTGCAAATCTCACTTCTTCGCCCTTGTGAAGAGAACAGGTCTTTAAAGGGCTTTTCATGTGGTCTATGAGCACTCTTGCACTGTTTTACTCGGCGTCACTTCTTTGGACTCGGAAGGTAAAGTCTTTTCATCACAAAAGATGCACTCTTCTTTGAAGTCGAGTGTTGTTAGCTGTTCTTTTAGATCAAGTGTTGTTAGCTGTTCCTTAGATCAAGTGTTGTTAGCTGTTCCTTTAGATCAAGTGTTGTTAGCTGTTCCTTGAGATCAAGTGCTGTTAGCTGTTCCTTTAGATCAAGTGTTGTTTGCTGTTCCTTTAGATCAAGTGTTGTCAGCTGCTCCTCGAGGTCAAGTGTTGCCAGCTGTTACTTGACGCCAAGTGCCGTCAACTGCTCATTGAGGTCAAGTGTCGTCAACTGTTATTTGAGGTCAAGTGTCGACAAAATCTGATACACTGGACCGTGGCCTGGATAGGTATCTTCACCAAGTGCCAGGTAAATCAGGCTGTGATGGATATTTGGATCAGCGAACCAGCAGCAGCAACAGACTGGTTGACCGGGCAAGCACCAGAGGAGCCTGGCCCAGGGACGGGCTGCTAGAGTAGAAAAACTGGCGATACCCTTCAGATGCAAATCGCCCGTCCTGTTACTGAATTATAACTTGTTAATAACAAGTGCCACATCTGGCACTTGTTATTAACATGTGCCACATCTGGCACTTGTTATTAACATGTGCCACATCTGGCACTTGTTATTAACATGTGCCACATCTGGCACTTGTTATTAACATGTGCCACATCTGGCACTTGTTATTAACATGTCTTACTCTTATTCTTCAGCTTTTCTGTATTGTTTACTGTGAATATTGAAAAAATAGAGAAAATACATCCTTATCTTTCTCCCCACACCTTTCTCTCCACACCTTTCTCCCCACACCTTTCTCTCCACACCTTTCTCTCCACACCCCTTTCTCCCCACACCTTTCTCTCCACACCTTTCTCTCCACACCTTTCTCTCCACACCTTTCTCTCCACACCTTTCTCTCCACACCTTTCTCTCCACACCTTTCTCTCCACACCTTTACTCTCCACACCTTTCTCTCCACACCTTTCTCTCCACACCTTTCTCTCCACACCTTTCTCTCCACACCTTTCTCTCCACACCTTTCTCTCCACACCTTTCTCTCCACACCCTTTCTCTCCACACCTTTCTCTCCACACCTTTCTCTCCACACCTTTCTCTCCACACCTTCTCTCCACACCTTTCTCTCCACACACCCTTTTCTCCCACACCTTTCTCTCCACACCTTTCTCTCCACACCTTTCTCTCCACACCTTTCTCTCCACACCTTTCTCTCCACACCTTTCTCCCCACACCTTTCTCCCCACACCTTTCTCTCCACACCTTTCTCCCCACACCTTTCTCTCCACACCTTTCTCTCCACACCCCTTTCTCCCCACACTCCTTTCTCTCCACATCCTTTTCTTTCTCCCCACACCCCTTTTTCACCACACTCCCTTCCCGCATCCATTTCTTCCCACATTCTTTCCTTTCTCCCCACAGATACTATCATTCACTCCCTTCTCTTCCCCTCAGTGTGGGGTACGATGGGAGGTATTGCTGGCTACCTGCCCGACTTATTTGTCAGGTTCAGGTGTGTAACTTGCCCCATCACCCCATCCATAGCTTCAGGCGTGTAACTTACCTGGAGGTTATTCCGGGGATCAACGCCCCCGCGGCCCATCACCCCATCCATAGCTTCAGGTGTGTAACTTGACCCATCACCCCATCCATAGCTTACCCTCATCACCCAGCCACAGGTGGGTGGCCACGCCCGTCATATTTGGCCTGCTTTATCGTATTGCTCTCTCTCTCTCTGCTCTCTCTCTCTTCTTCTCTCTCTTCTCTCTCTTCTCTCTCTCTTCTCTCTTCTTCTCTCTCTCTCTCTCTTCTCTCTCCTCTCTTCTCCTCTCTCTCTCTCTCTCTCTCTCTCTTCTCTCCTTCTCTTTCTATGAATTCAACACCAATCTTCAAGGTATATTCACTATACTGTATATATGCACTGAATATGCTAGGCTGTTGGTACCATCTGCACGCAGTCCAGAGTAAACACTACAGCCTGGCTGATCAGGAACGGAACTGATGTTATATTGCGTAAACAATTGCTTTATTGAAGCAACTTGTTTTAATTACGTGATAGTGGGAAACTGTTGTTCGTGAATTTGAGCTTGTTGTCACTGAGATGAGATGGTGAGAGAGAAAGCGAGAGAGAGCGAGAGAGAGACGCAACAGACGAGCGGTATGAGGGTTGTCAGGAGATGGAGAGGAGAGTGAGAGGAAGAGAGAGAGAGAGAGAGAGAGAGAGAGAGAGAGAGAGAGGACAGAGACGAGGAAGGGGGGGGGTAGCAGACGGCAACAGCTCTGTCTGGACAGGGTCGGGTCAGCAAATGTGTGTGTGCGTGTGTGTGTGACCACCCCCCCGCCCCGCGCCGCCGCCCCCGCCGCCCGCACCTGGGTCATCTGTGGGTGTGGCGGGTGGGTGGGCGGTAGGGTGGCGTTACCACCAGTGCCCCAGAACAGGTTATGTGCCTGGCTCAGTTCAGCTCGGTAGCTTCAGTAACTAGAAAATGCATGGCAGGTTGACTTCTAGCTGCCTGTGTAGAGAGAGAGAGAGAGAGAGAGAGGAGAGAGAAAGATGGGAAAGATCCGGAAGAGGTTCAGGTACTCTTCCACACTTTGTTGCAAACTGTATCATTTGCGTGTGTGTACCCACCTATATGTGGTTGCAGGGGTCGATTCACAGCTCCTGGCCACGCCTCTTGACTAGTCCCTACTAGGTCACACTCACTGCTCCATGAGCTTTATCATACCTCTTCTTAAAGCTGTGTGTGGTTCCTGCCTCCACTACATCATTTCCCAGACTATTCCATTTCCTGACAACTCTGTGACAGAAGAAATACTTCCTAACATCCCTGTGATTACCTCTGAGTCTTCAGCTTCGAATTGTGTGTGTGTGTGTGTGTGTGTGTGTGTGTGTGTGTGTGTGTGTGTGTGTGTGTGTGTGTGTGTGTGTGTGGCGCGTAAATACTTGCAGAAAAAATATAAAAATAATTTCCCCTATTTCAATTTATATTAATTCAGGTTAAGCTAATTTAACCACATTAACCACAATAAGTAAACTACAGACAGGAAGCGTTCAAATCTGCACGAACTATCCTTATGGGAGACTTACCTTGCCAAAGTACGCCTGGCAGCCACCTACGCCTAGGAGTGCCTCATCCTCCTATGCCTGGCAGCCCTGCACGGCACCCAGCAAACTCAGCCAGTCATCCATTCAGTAGCGGAGTGGCAGCCAGAGAGGCAGGGAGTGTACGAGGGCACGTCTGCCTTATACTCTCACTCGACCTCTCTTACATGCTCAAATTCGCTCTAAACCCGCACTTATACTAACGTGATTACCCGTATTTGTGTGCCTGGAGGATATTAGAGTGGGGGAAGAAGTATACGGAATACTTTAGTAGAGAAAGTAAGCGAGAGAGTTTGCAAGATTTGTGTTATCGCGATCGGGTAAATCTGCTAGCTAAGCGATGGTGTTGCAGATGTAGTGAAACTTGTGGTACATTTTGCAACTGATACACCGCCATGCAGGCACGAAAAGAAAGTTCCCCTGGGAAAAGGATGCTAAAACATGCCGTCTGTCGATGCTGTCTATTGAAAAAGACAGGTTGTCGACGCTGTCCACTGAAAAAAACGATAGATTATTGACGCTACTGACCGTAATAGATATTTTGTGGATGCTATTCTCCGAGATATATATATATATATATATATATATATATATATATATATATATATATTATATATATATATATATATATATATATATATATATATATAACCTTCTAAGCTACACACTGGAAAAAGTAGATTGTTGAAAATATCCTGTGTGAAAAAACTAGCTTATCGAAGCTAGTCACTGGAAAATCACTGTTAGGAAATAATTTGTACCAAGTATGGTTAATTAGGAAATCGTGTGGTAAGATCCGGACATGTTGATGTTGATACACCAGCTGGCAGGTGCACGGTGCTGTTGATGCTGGTGCACGGTGTTGTTGATGTTGGTGCACGGTGCTGGTGATGCTGGTGCACGGTGCTGTTGATGTTGGTGCTCGGTGCTGGTGATGTTGGTGCACGGTGTTGTTGATGTTGGTGCACGGTGCTGTTGATGTTGGTGCACGGTGTTGTTGATGTTGGTGCACGGTGCTGTTGATGTTGGTGCACGGTGCTGGTGATGCTGGTGCACGGTGTTGTTGATGTTGGTGCACGGTGTTGTTGATGTTGGTGCACGGTGCTGTTGATGTTGGTGCACGGTGTTGTTGATGTTGGTGCACGGTGCTGTTGATGTTGGTGCACGGTGCTGGTGATGCTGGTGCACGGTGCTGGTGATGCTGGTGTACGGTGCTGTTGATGCTGGTGCACGGTGCTGGTGATGCTGGTGCACGGTGCTGTTGATGTTGGTGCACGGTGCTGGTGATGCTGGTGCACGGTGCTGTTGATGCTGGTGCACGGTGCTGTTGATGTTGGTGCACGGTGCTGGTGATGCTGGTGCACGGTGCTGTTGATGTTGGTGCACGGTGCTGGTGATGTTGGTGCACGGTGCTGTTGATATTGGTGCACGGTGCTGGTGATGCTGGTGCACGGTGCTGGTAATGCTGGTGCACGGTGCTGTTGATGTTGGTGCACGGTGCTGGTGATGGTGCACGGTGCTGTTGATGTTGGTGCACGGTGCTGGTGGTGCTGGTGCACGGTGCTGTTGATGTTGGTGCACGGTGCTAGTGATGCTGGTGCACGGTGCTGGTGATGCTGGTGCACGGTGCTGGTGATGCTGGTGCACGGTGCTGTTGATGCTGGTGCACGGTGCTGGTGATGCTGGTACACGGTGATGTTGATGTTGGAGCACGGTGCTGGTGATGCTGGTGCACGGTGCTGTTGATGCTGGGGCACGGTGCTGGTGATGCTGGGGCACGGTGCTGGTGATGCTGGGGCACGGTGCTAGTGATGCTGGTGCACGGTGCTGGTGATGCTGGTGCACGGTGCTGTTGATACTAGTACAAGTACCTACTAGAGACGACACAAATGGTAGAGTGGAAGGTACAGGAAGGGGTATCAATTGTTGTAAAAGGATGGATGTGAAAGGCCCGTTGTGACGCCGGAGGGAGTGTAGTGATGGAGAAGTATTGTGTTGGCGGGAGTGTGGTGTTGGAGGGAGCGTGATGCTGGAGGGAGGGTGGCGTTGATGAAGTGGAGGGTGCTCTGTACTGCGGGAAGTTCGCTTAATTTGTGGTGGTGGAGCCGTAGTGATGGGGAGAAGCTTGTAGTGGGGTGTGGCTCTATAGGTTCATGATATTGCAGGAATCTTGAAATGCTGGAGGATGTTTGATCTCTGTCGTATTATCTTGAAGTTGGCAACGGTAGTGAAAGATAGCTCAGGGGCTGGAAGGAAGAAATAGAGAGACAGACAGAAGGGAGGGAGGGAGAGGAGAAATCTTCGTTTGCAGAACCATGAGTAAAAAATGCTGCCCCAAACTCTTTCTCCATCCACGCCATGCCACCTCCACTCCTCCACAATTCCCCAACACTTCCTTCACATGGTCTCTGCTACCCTTCCCCCCGCACCCATAGATATGTGGGATCTGGCTGGGTGGATATCCTACTGTGTGTAATGTTTGTAAATGTACACTCTGTTTTGATTATTTATTTCCTCCAATTGTTTACATTAAAACATGCCATCAAACAGGAGTTGCTGTGGTTTACTGTGGTTCATTCCCCGTGTCAGTTGTTCTTCCAAAAATACCTGGTGTGTTCCAGCAACTTTCTTTACTCTTAATTAAAGATTCTTCAGTTAATTAACTAGAATTCTTGAGCGTTGCCTGTTGTCTAGAGTGATTTGAGGAAATTTTAGAGTGATTAAAGAGAGTTGAAAGTGATTGGATAAAGGTTTAATGGACTACAAAGAGTACCAAGTTCTAAGTGACTGATAAGAGCTCTAGAGCTCTAGGATAACAAGAGCTCTAGATTGTTTAAGGAAGTTTGCGGATCATTGCGATGCTCTAGGAAAAGACATTCAGATTGTTAGCTGCCACTTAGGGCAATTGCCCTGAGCGACTGCAGTGCTCTAGTACGATTGAAAAGATTTCTAAGTTATTTGTCTGCCATCTAAAGCGATTTACAACAGTCTGCTGCTTAGGGAAACGAGGAGGCATTCTAGGGTGATTTGGATAAGCTCTGATTGTTAGCCATCGTTTAGGGTAATCAGAATGAGCTGTAGGGTGTTATCTGTTGATGCTTCAGATGCTTCAGGCAATTGTTATCTAAGGTGATTAATGACTCTGTACCCAGTCAGAATAGTCGTCTAGGTTAGTCAGTAGTAGTTTCTTTGCTTTGGTTAACCATTAGGGAGTTAGTGATGCTAGTAAATTTGAGTTTGATCCTAGGAGCTGGGAGCTACTCCCTACTTCCTTAGCCTTAATAATTTAAAGCTTTCAATGAATGTAATGATTTTAAAAGTATTAATAATATTAATTAAAGAATTTCCCTTTGGTCATACCAATTTACCTCCCATTCCCCAGTTGCTCTAAGACCCCTACGGGTGTATCACTTTCTCATGAAATTAAGAATAATAATAATAAAAATAGATTCCAATCCTCTTTTTTTCTGGGGGGGGGTAGAATACGAAGACCTTTCTATAAGAGTCATGTTGTATGTAGGATCAGGTAGTTGTGAACTTATGGTATTGTGGGATCACATTGTTTTACCATGGCAATATATTATGCAATATCGACAATATGATGAATTGGAAATATGTGCAACACTTGGAAATCTTTATCTGAAGACATTTCGCCAACCAATGGAACCGAAAAAGGCCTCTGGTTGGCGAAACGCCTTCAGATAAGAATACCTAGGTGTTGCACAAAGTGTGTAACTCCTCACTACATGTGTTGGACTGTGTGTCTTGTAGGGCGCGTAGAGGTGGCGTAATATGCGTCCCTGGAAGAGGACACTGCGTCCCTGGCAGGAAGGAAGGTTTAGTTCCCGCTGGATGCTGTGGGAATATGGAATGCTTGGGGAAAGTCGCAAATGGTGAGACGTGAGCAGTGTCGAGGTGAAGTTGTGGGGCGCCATGCGTTGAAAGTGGTGGTGGTCGTTGTAGTGTTGGTGGTGGTGATGTTGCTACTAGTGATGGTACTGTTCTTACTGCTGGTGGCGCTGTTGCTACTGGTAATGCTACTGTGGCTATGATAGGGCTGCTGTTACTACTGATGGTGCTACTGATACTGGTGGTGGTGCTGCTACTGGTGGTGGTGTTGCTACTGGTGGTGGTGGTGCTGCTACTGGTGGTGGTGTTGCTACTGGTGGTGCTGCTGCTTCTGCTGGTGATGGAGCTGTTTCTGGTGACATTGTTGCTACTGTTTGGTGGCGCTGCTGTTGCTGGCGTTGCTGCTGGTGATGCTGTTGCCGGTGACATTGTTATTATTGCTGACAGTGATACTGTTGCTGGTGGTAATGTTGTTACTGGTGAAGACACTGATGCAAATTTCCACACTGTTACATTCATCTCACCCCCATCGTAACCACCCTATTCCAACGAGAAGATCCTGCCTAGCATGGGCCAGTACTCCTACTGCAACACCCCTCCGATCGAAAATAAATGGTATAAAATACCGACACAATGGAAACATAAACACATATGCAGTTTAATGTGATCCTTTATTGACAACGTTTCACCCACACAGTGGGTTTTTTCAAGTCACACACAGATCTACCTGGGGTGGAAGGTACGGGAGTATTTATAGTCATACTCCCGTACCTTCCACCCCAGGTAGATCTGTGTGTGACTTGAAAAAACCCACTGTGTGGGTGAAACGTTGTCAATAAAGGATCACATTAAACTGCATATGTGTTTATGTTTCCACCCCTCCGATCCCACCGTCTCGCGCGTCCCCCAGGAAGCAGTCCTGTAGGCTCTTCCAATCTCATTAACATTTCTCTTCTCACGTTCATCTTCTTCAACGATGAAAAAAGAATGTTAGACTTCAGTATTTAACTTAAATTGTAGAAATCTTGTTTATCAGACTGAGTTTATTAACCGAGAGGGAGAAATAACACGAAACAGATTGTCAGGAGTGTTATTTGTAATAATTGATAAATTAGACACATGGGCAACTCTTGGGTATCTTTGAACATTAAAATGGTATAAAATACCGACAGATTGTTAGGTAAGACACATATGCAACAGTTAGGTATCTTTATTTTGAAACGTTTCGCCTACACAGTAGGCTTCTTCAGTCGAGTACAGAAAAGTTGATAGAAGCAGAAGATACTTGAAGACGATGTAATCAGTCCATCACCCTTAAAGTATTGAGGTGGTCAGTCCCTCAGTCTGGAGAAGAGCATTGTTCCGTTGTCTGAAACAATATGAAGTTGAAGTGACAGAATCGGGCCTTATATAGTGCCAGGAGGTGAGAC